CTTTGAAGTACGGTTTGACCACATGGGGGAAGGCCCGAGCGACGCAAACCGTCGCGGAGAGGCGCGGGCCGGCCTCGGGCGCGGCTGGCTGGCTGACGGCTGGCCGGCGGAGCCCCCACTCCGCCCGCCCGGCTGCCTGCCTGGCTGGCGGCGGCTGCGCGCGCCGCGCGCACAGCGCCCCTAGCGGCAGCGGTGCGTAACATCAGCATTGCAGATTGACGTTCGTTGAAGCACGGCGAGAACACGAGATCGGGGGTGGTTAGGGGTTTTCGGTTTCGGCTAATTTGAGGTAATAACAAATTGTCAACTTTGAAGTAACGAATGGCGAAGAGGGGATTATCTAACTTTAGTTAAAAGTATTACACTATAATTTTTGTTTACAGAATGGACTCGTCCTTTTTCTTAGATGAAAATGGAAATCGATGTCCTTTCATACCGCCGAATGCAACATCCACCCCACGCAAGAAACCGAAGTTAGACAAGAAATCGGCCAAGTATATATGCCCGCACTGCAGCAAGCCATATCAAGTAAAATTTTATTATGACAAGCACGTTCAAAGTCACAACAGTCAAGGTTAGTAGTGAGGGTGCCCCTGTCTTTTAAGGTTATGCGACGCTTTTATGCACCAATTTAAAGTTTACTTTTGTTAATTTTGCCTTTAGTGACAACTTCTGACGTTGATGTCAGTAGGGCGGTGCACCTTGACTGCAGTGATCTGTCATTCAGAAATGTCGATGGAGACACTAGCGTCAGCTCAACAAGCCTTTTCAAGCAGCCTACTGCTCCAGTCCAAGCTGCTAAAAAGAAGGGAGTGAATGTGAAGCATAAGAAGAAAGAGGAAATGGTCTGCACTTATTGCCTGAAAAAATATGTTTGCAGTAAATCATTCAAGATGCATATGAGAGCTCATTACATACAGAGTAAGTTTACACTACGCAATCAGGGTAAATATGATAGTAAGTATGATAGTAAGCATGCTGTTTTTCATGTTATTTACTTTTCCTCAGGTGCTGCTGCAAGAGTTCCAAACGCTGACCAAATTTTGGAGAATACTGAGGAATTTTCTGACAAAGCCATGCTGGGGGTGGCCAATAGTCCAAGTTTTGGTGATTGTGGTGCGAAGTTCAGACAATTAGTCGGACACATAGCCTCTATATCAGCAAGTGAAGAGTGGAAAGATTTTTGTCACAGTTTCTGCAGTGAATTGGTGGACAGTATTCGTGATAAGAAGTGCCTTCTTCCTTCCTCATTAGCGACCACTCTAATTGATAAACTAAATAGTACACTGACAAATGTCAAGTTTAATGACTTAATTAAAATTCTGAAATTAGGAGATTTATTTGATAGTGATGTGCTTGCCCAATTTTTTTTAGAGTTTGGACTTAATGTTATGACTGAGATGTTTCGTTACCTTTGCTCAACATTCCGCAAATGTTTCACCCGAAACAGACAGGCAGGGGAACCACAGGTTAATATTAGTAAAGAGGATAGGCAAGTAGTATACTACATTGGTGGATCAATAATGAGAGGCTTCCTTAAAATAGCTAAAAGATCAGGTAAAAGTGCAACTTGGAAGAAGGTGGCTGAAGTGCTGAAGGCAAATATTTTAATTGAGAAACCTTCTGGAGATATTGAACCAGATTCAGAGTGGACAAAGAGTGTAGATAGGGGTAGTTTGCTCTACATCAATCCACCATGCCAAGAATTTTTTATTAAACTGACTCAATTGGTGTTTTCAAAAGAAAAGAGAAATGGTTCTATTGACTATGAGTCTGTCATATCCACTGTTAGTAAGTCAGACTTGAGTGTTGAGTGGGACAGCCTCATATCAGACAGTTTAGATGAAACGGTTTCATTCAATCTACTAAATGAGATAGTTTTGTGTTTTTGTCGTACTTGTGGCAGGGGCTTTGCCAAAAGAAGACTAAATGCTACAAGGAAAAAATTTCTTGTTTCTATGCCAACTAGACATTTAGTTGCAAGCAGAAAGAAGTGATCTCATTATCTGTATGTATGTTCAGCCCGAAGAATTGCACTATAATGTTCCTAATGTTTTCTTTGATTATATTTTGTTCCTTATTTTAAGTATTTAAGTACCAAGATATATTTATTTTGTTTTTTGAGGTACATTTTATTTTATAATTGTTTTTATTCTTCTGCTGTGACTTGCATCTAACTGCATGCATTATGTGTGATATCCTATTTTAGACAAGCAGACTCACAGTAGTCAAAAATTTAATATGTGATGTGGGTCTTTGTTTTTATTTCTTAGTTACCTGTGCCATTGCTCAAAATGTGATAATTTCTGAAAGTGTGTTTCTGAATGTGTTTTCAATGTGTTTCTGAAAGTTACAGGAAACTGATTAAAAAAAAAGTTCAAATGAATAAGTATTTATTATTGGAACAGATGACATCACAGTTTTAAAAAGAATACAATCACATAAAGGTGAGATTCAATGAAGCAGGACACTATCACAATACTCATTACAGTAAAAGTTTCAAAGGAAGTATTAAACATAACACTGGTATGTACATATATAGCACTAAAGGCAAGTAAAACAAGTTGAACATTAGTTCTGATAATATCTTTACATGGATACTGTACTAACAGTGCAAATGTGTGGGAAATTATAGTTAACATTTAACAGAAAAACAAACAAGGGAATTGACAAGTTAAAGTGCAATTGCAATACTGATACATTGACCAATCACTCATCATTTTTTCGCAGCAGCTTTGGGGTGCGTTGCCATCTTTTTTTAGGTAGGGTTTCTGTAGTAACTTCTACCGTACTTCCATCCTCTCCTGAGTTCCCCTTGCGCTTCCTCATACCAAGCTGGCCAATAGTGTGGAGAGTACGATTCCTGTTCAGAAATTGGCCAACATTGGGATTGTTGCTACCACCTTGCCCTGCTCTTATCTTGCTGAAATGCTGCTCCAATGGGTCTTGGCAGAAGACTCGAGCATTGATAAATGAAACTCCCTCCCTCAGTAAGAACACTACCAAGGGTTTGAAAGCCAAAACAGTCATGCGGATTCCATCAATAGTTTGCTTACTCATAATGCGTTTGCTAGCTGGTGTTTCTTCTTCAGGGTTGAAGTTGCCATCTTCAATCTCACTTTCATTACAGTTAGCAACAGTATTATTTCCAACAACAGTAGAATTAAATGACTGATTGCTGTTCTTTGCTTCTTCCTCCCATTCATTTAAATACTCAAGAAATCTATCCAGTGTCTCAAACCGGACATCATTCTCTGAAGTGTAGGGTGCAAGGTTTGGGTTGTTGGTTTTCTTCCCTTGTGAGGAGTGGGCGCCATTAAGGCAATCAAACCACTCATTGACCTTTTCTATAAAGTTCTCAGTTTCAGCAGCATCTGGCCACTTTTGGCTACGCATGTCTTGACATACAGTGTTACTCAGAACTTGGGCTGCCACCTTCAGTTTCATGCGCGCATAACTATCAGGGGCAACATTCATAGGGTTCAGTTTGTAAGATTTTCTGAGACTTTTCCCCTTCTTTAAATCATACAGTTTAATAATGAAGTCCCAAGATATTTTCAGGCCATTTTTCATCATTTTTCTTCGGCTTTTCTTCCCATCCCACCTGGAGTTAAGAAAACAATTTCGGATGGTCTTAAGTAGATGCGGCACATCTGCAATGAAATACAGATTTCTATCTCTTGCAGCCAGGTTGACTGTGCTAAAAATGATGCCACTTTCATGAATTGATGCTGGGATGTGCTTCTTGATGAAGGAACGATTGACAGATGAACCATCACTGACATAGGCTACAACAGCAATTCCACTTCTTTCAAGTGCACCTATAACTTGCCAGGTCCACACATACAATTGGTTAGCAGTTAAAGTGCCTGTAGTGAAAGTTGCCACAACCTCCTTAATACCATTAGAGATGCCTTTTATCATGTAAACCATAACTTTTTCAGCAATTATTTCTTCCATTTCTCTATCTGGATTATCAATGCACTTTTCAAGGTCTGCCACCTCTTTATCAATATGATTTAGAGAAGTATATCCAATCATTTTTCCTGTAGACTTCTGAAACACCAGATTCTGAGATATGTACATCTCGTCTCCCATAAGCACGTGAAACTTTTTGTGCTTTTCTGGAAAATTAGCTAGACGCTTACTTATAGATTCTAGCACAGTCCTGTCTATTCCCTCAACAACATTTTCTACGTGGCTATATTCAAATAAAGTTGAACTCGATGGTAACTTCACCATACCTGTTTGCCGCAACAATTCATAAGCTGCAGGCGACGTGAGATGCACAGACAAAGCAAACCTGATCATGGTCGGGTGCCATCTCATGCCACATGTCTTTTTCACCTGTGAAGCTTTGATTTGTTGCTGTAAAAACACAGATTGGGCAGGAGTGATAGTGCAATTTTTCAAGATTTCTGAGAGGTCCTCTGCCACCGCAGGATTAAGTACAACAGCTTCTTTTTTAATAACTTCTTGCATGCGCTCCCTGAGCCGAACAAGTTTTTTCTTGGTATTCTTGAGGTCGATCTGCTTCTTTGCCAACTTCGTTAATTTTTGCTTCTCTGTTAGGAACTTGTTTGCTGTGAAGATTGGACGCTCTTCTAAATTAATAGCATTGGTGAGTCTCTTCAATGGTTTATAAAGCTTCAAGCATTCTGAGCAACGCCACTTGTTAGAAGGTACTAACAGAGAGCAATTATGGGATCTAATTGTTTCTACATATCTGCACTCCAGAAAAGGGTTGTGATCAACTATACCAACCGAACATGATGACCAAGCGTCCTGAAACTTTGCATCATCATAACCACTGCATATTTCCATTTTCTGCACATTGTTCATAATAGAGGCAATTTTGTCTACATAGGAGTTAACACTTTCTGCATACAGAGGTTCAGGGGGCTGCAGATCTTTAGTGAAGGGCTCAATGGAAACTGCAACATTGTGCACAAAAAGCTTCACATCACCAGCAGTATTTACAGTTAAACATCTCTGTGAAGTTAAACATTGCTGTACAGAGTAGTACACACAATTCAATTTCTCATTCTCCACAACTACAAGCCAACGTTTAGAAGTAAATAATTCTAGTTTTTTCTTCACTTGCAAAAGTAAGTCTTCACTTGAAGCTTCCACATCAACAACATTTTCCAGGGTAGAAGGCACAGAAGTAGAAAGAACCATCTCAACATCGGAAGATTCCTCAGTCATGCATTGGTCTTCAAAGCTCTGCAAAAGAAATGCCTGTTCTGAATACGATACTTTAAAGCCACATAAGTAAAGCAAATGCATAATAAAAAGTACCAAGTGGATATTTGCACCAGAAAGTACCTCATTATCATTTGAAGTCGATAGTATCAGTCCCTCTTGAGGTACTTGAGAGCAGTAGCCATGATCCAACATAGAAACCTTTAAAAAAAAAGAAAAAAGAGACCTTTAATTATGAAGGAAATTATGGTATAAAGAAATAAGATTAGAAAACCTCTAGTAAAATACCTGACTTGTCTTAACATTGGAAGATTCATTGGTGATGCACTGGTCTTCAAAACTCTGCAAGAGAAGTGCATGTTCTGAATACGATACTTTAGTGCCACATTAGTAAAGCAAATGAAAAATAAAAAGTAAGTAGTACCTCATTATTTGAAGTTGATGTTGATGTTGATGGTATCGGTCCTCGTTGAGATACGTGAGAGTAGCCATGATCTACCATAAAAACCTGAAAAAATAAACCTTCAATTATGAAAGGAATTATGGCGTTAACAACTAAGTTAAAAAAGTTTAGGTCAAAATACCTGGCTTGAACTGGACTCAGCATTTGTTGTACTCAATCCACTGGTGGCGTGCTGAAATTCGGCTCTAATCCCCGCCTAAATTAAAGACAAACAACAAAGACATGAAACAAAGGTTATAAATTTAAAATAACAGGCATTACTAAAGCACACAACCTTACTTCATCCGTCTGCTTCTTCTTATTTTTACGTTTTTGACCTTTTTTCGGTGCCTGTCGTTTCCGTACAGGGACTTTAGGCATAGTAGAATAAGCACAAATCAAGTCAAAGGA